CGCTGGAGCTGCGTTTCCCCTCCCCCCCGCCCTGGGCTGTCCCGTGGAGAAGCCAAGCGAAGGTGTCTTTCGGTTCATGCTGCTTTCCCAGCTCAGGGATCGGTATGTAAGCCGGTAGCGGAAAGCAGAAGGGGATTCCTCGCGCGTTATATCGTAATGATAACATCTTTATCAGTGGTCTGGATGCGTCGGTCTGCTGGAGGGCAGGAAGGCTCTGCAGAGGGATCTGGTCAGGCTGGATCCATGGGCCGAGGCCAACTGTACGAGGTTCAACAAGGCCAAATGATGGGTCCTGCCCTTCGGTCACAACCACCCCACGCAGCACTCCAGGCTTGGGGAGGAGTGGCTGGAGAGCTGCCCGGCGGAAAAGGACCTGGGGGTGCTGGTCGACAGCCGGCTGAACGCGAGCCAGCAGTGTGCCCAGGTGGCCAAGAAGGACAACAGCATCCTGCCTTTGTCCATGGAATGTGGAAAGAGGGGCAGGCCACTTGGGAAGAATACAGGAATGTGGTCAGAGCGTGCAGGGATGCCATGAGGAAGGCCAAGGCCCACCTGGAATTGAAGCTGGCAAGGGATGTCAAAAACAACAAGAAGGGCTTCTTCAACTACATCAGCAGCAAAAGGAAGGCTAGGGACAGAAGAATGTTGGTAACACTGATGGTTTCAGTTGTTGCTAAGAAATCAAGGACTTTTTCCAGTATCCCGTGTTCGGCTAATGAGCAGGTGAGCAGGAGCTGAGAGGGAGCATGGCCAGGCAGCCAGTCAATCTGGGCAGTGGAAATATTCCATACCATAGACATCACGCTCAGTATGTAAATGGCGGTTCGCCTGAGGGAAGGAACCTCTTTTGTGGGAGTTAAACTCTCCTTTTCTGTGAGTTGGGTCTTTTTTCCATGAGTTCTGCAAAATCCACAGGTTCCACGATCGCTGCTCGGGGACTGGCTGTGCAATCGATCATTGGGTGGTGAGAAAAGCTGTATCGTGTATAGCTTGTTTTGCACATTCTTTATTATTATTATTATTAGTAGTAGTATTTCCATTCTTATTAAACTGTCTTTACCTCAACCCATGAGTTTTACTTCTTGCCCATTCTCCTCCCCGTCCCACTGGGGTGGGAGGAGTGAGTGAGCGGCTGCGTGGTCCTCGTTGGCGGCTGCCAGGTTAAACCATGACAGCCTCTCACTACAAGAAGGACATGGAGGTATTGGAGCATGTCCAGAGAAGGGCAGTGAAGCCGGTGAAGGGTCTAGAGAACCAGTCCTATGAGGAGCCGCTGAGGGAACTGAGGTTGTTTAGCAGGAGCAAAAAAGGCTTGGGGAAGACCTTATCCCTCTCTACAACTACCTGAAAGTCTCTTCTCCCAAGTAACAAGTGATAGTACGAGAGGAAATGGCCTCAATTTGCACCAGGGGAGGTTTAGACTGTATATTACAAAAAATTTCTTCACCTAAGGGGTTGTAAAGCACTGGAACAGGCTGCCTGGGAAAGTGGTGGAGTGACCGTCCCTGGAAGTATCTAAAAGACGTGTAGATGTGGTGCTTAGGAACATGGCTTAGTGATGGGCTTGGCAGTATTAGGTTTACAGCTGGACTCGATCTTAAAGGTCTTCACTGACCTAAACAATTCTATGATTAACCAAAGACAGCCTAAATTTCAAACCTTGTTGTTGAACGCAGCGGGTACGGTGCTGCGTGTAAAAACCAAGCTCAGAATTTCCAGGTGAGAGCGTCAGAAATGTCCAGCCATGTCAGGATGCTGGGCTGCCTGCTACCCAGGTCTTGACAGCTGTTAGACAGCACTGCTTGGAGAGCGTCCGACCCGGGGTGAGCAGCCCTCGTGCTGCCCTGGCATCCACAGGCTAGGTTTGCTTGGGAGCCCCGTGCGCCTCAGCATCTGCTTCTGGATCAGTGGCCCATGAGCTTGTCTAAATTCCTTTTTATCTACCTGCACAAAATGGCGTGGCAACAGGTTCCAGATTTTGTATTATCTGCTGCGTAAAGGAGGTGTTTTCATTTATGTTAAGCAGCCTTAAGGGTTATATCTCTTAAGCACAGAGCATACAGGATGTTATGCATGTGTGTAACAGTACAAAAGTAGCGTAAAGGTAAGTACAGAATTTTCAGGACAGAAAAATTAAGTTGTGCAATGCAGAATTATTCACATATGTTTCTGGCTTTTAAGCTTCGTAAGGAAGGAGGCTTCAGATATCCAATATATATCACTTTTGCCAATAAAAGGATACAACATCCACATTTAAAAATACTTTTAGCTCAAAACAGCTTCTGGTATTCCTTTCTGGTATTCTGTTCTGCTGCAGAAAAAAGCCAATACAATGTTGTGATTGTTTTTTCCTGTTCCCTCAGGTTCCAATGGATTTAATGAGTCCCCCGCTATCTTTAAAAGATAATGGTTTCGTAAGTATTTCCTGATGTTCTGCCTGGGAAAAAAAGTCTATGTTTGACAATAGTATCTCTGAATGAAGGTTTGTGCTTGGGCTGCGAGGACAGTGCTTCTGAAACTTCTTGTCTCACCTTCTTCCATCCTTTAATACTTCGGACATTCCTCATTCCCGCCTCCCGTTTCCATAGGGAGAGTCCTGTTCCAAAGCGTCTGCGTTACAGATTCTGTTAGCGTTTTCCTGTCCTACCTCGCTTGCTCATCCGTCTGCTCTGGAGGTCGCTTAGGGGAATTTCCTTTTTCCTGGTGCCTCCCTTGAGTCAGTTCCTGCACCGCTGCAAGTAGTTTGGGTGGGACTTTCCCTCGGATTTCTAGTGTTTTCCTTGTTATTTTTTCCTTCTTTCGGGTTGAAAACTGTTGTCTTAGACCATTTTTCAGTAAAAAAGTCATTTGTTCTTATCAGCTTCCAACTGTGGCACGTGCATCCTTCTACTTCCCTGCACTCAATCATTTGAACGAAGGAATTTTTTTTTCCGGTTTTAAGCTATACGCAGCTGGGGATTTCCCTGTTGCTTAATAGGCATTTGAAACTGGACAAAGTAGTGGAAAAAATTATTTTGTATTTCAGTGTTTTTAGGAAATACCTAGTATTACCAAGAGAATTGACAAGATTATCTAACTTAGACCTTTTCCATGCCTAAATTTCATGGTTCACATTCAAGTTTTATGTAATCTTAAGTAAAAGGGAGGGATTGTTTCAACAGGTCTCTTTGGATTTTTTTTTTTCTTTTTGCAGAATATTGCAGCCATAGAAACAAAACAGAACAGAGAAGATTTTCTCTCTTCTTGGGCTTTATCCAGTTATAGTTTTCCTGTGCTTGTGAACTTCTGCCCTGAAGTACTTAAATTCTGATATGCTTCTTTTATCACCTTCCTCCTGCTTGATGTTACCTTTTATGGTCCAATCTCCCTGAGCTTGGAAGCGTCCTGTTTTGAAATTTTTTTCTCATTAGGCCTGTATATTCTTTATACATTCTCTTAGAGGAACTGCTGAGAAAGCATAAATAAACATTTGTGGGTTTGAGGGGCTTAGTTCCTGGTGGAAGAGCATAGAGACAACTTCCTTTTGTTATTTATCAAAATACTAGCCTGTGAATATTTTCAGTCAAATAATGATTACTGACCAGGATCCATTTTCTTAGTTTTTTGTCCTGTCCAGCCATAAAATAGTTCAATGATTTGGTCTAAGTGTCTGAATGCATTTTAAAAAAATTATGTGGTCTATGCTATCCTCTGGCATGCAGATTCTAGGAAAATTAAATTACGAAATACAGTCGGTCTCTCAAAATGTTTGGCTCACCGCATATCTTGCCTGCATAATTGGAGAAAAACAGCACATGGGCACGCAGGCAAAATACGTCGGACTTCCATTAATGGACATACATTGAAAACTACTATGGAAAAACGCTTCGTCCAACTGCAGAGGGTTTATTTTTTTTTTTATTTTGAAGACTCGTTTGAATTGTTTGGTGTGTCTTGGTTAAATGGAGGGCAAAACCTGTGTGTTCCCTCTGCTTTTCTCTCCAGAGTATGGCAACCCCTGGCCCTTTCAGCATACCAGATGATGAGATGGAAAGACTGCAAGAAGAACTGAAGGAATGGAAGGCAAGTTCTATAAAGCACATAAAATTGTGGATATTAGCTGAAAGACACTTGGAAGACCTGTAGTCCATCCTCCTAAAACCAAATCAACTCTCCCCCAATTAGAACGTGTGTGTCTAACTTGTTCTCTATTCCTCAATGGTACATGCTTGTGTTGATCTTAGTGGTAACTACACTTGTAAGTATAAGAGAAATATTTACCCAAAGTGTTAAAAATAAATAAATATAAAGGGCTTACTTCAGGTTTTGTTCGTTCCTGTGGAAGAAAAAAAAAATTTAAATCTTTTTCTTTTTAACTGTCCAGGAAAAAGTTGAACAAGCTGAAAAAGCGAAAGCTGACCTTCTTCTCTGTAAAGTAAGTGCTGATGAAGAGTGTATTAAAGCAGAGGAGGAGCTGATAAAGCTGAAGGACTTTCAAGAGAAGCAGCATAAAGACATTATTATGTCTAGGGACACCCATGAGGTATGGACAAGGCTCACTCGTAGCTGTTAGTATTTGGGGAGTTGTGAAGGAGGTGTTGATAAGAGAAAAGAAGAGTAACATTTGCTTTTCAGTTTAAACGGCTTTACCGGTTTGCAGACTATGACCAGAATGTTTTACATGTAGTTTTTCAGTGGCAGCTTAAGAGCCAGTGCAATAAAATAATTCTTATGGTAATGTTGGAAGAGTGAAGGCAAAACTGAGACCTATTTTTTGTAGAAGATGAGGACTGTCAAGACCAGTCCTCCTCTTCCAAGATTCGCCACTGACAGATGAGTTTCAGTTTTGTGTGATGCAGAGAAAATTGAATGGGTTGATTCCACTGCTTTGTCAACTCCCAGCCCATCTTACAAGACGTTACAGCACCCAAGGAATTGGCATTTCTTAAGTGGCAATGAGCTGGGCAAGAGCCAGAACCTGTTTGAGGAGAGCTCTTCTTTCTAGAACTAATTAGTTCTAGAACTAATTGGTTCATCACCTCAATGCCCCAGGTGCAGTCATTGGTACAGTAAGGATAAGTTTCCATACGCCGTCAAGGAGGTGCTTTCAGTGGAGTTTGGTTTGGCCTGTGAATCACTGATGAGAAATTATGGCTTCAACATTACAAGCTATTAAAATATAATTAATAGGTTAAATACATTCAGGTTGGCGTGGAATTTTCTGAAAGTTGGTTTTGGTGCTCCAATCATAAATGTATACAAAAAATGTATCATTCATGGCTGTCATGTAGAATAATTAAAAGTTGAAACAGTTTCTGATGTCTACAGGTTTTGCTGAAATATGTTTTTGTCTTCTATGTATTTAATTTTGCATTTAATACTTTTTGGGCTGTAGAGAGAACTCTGTCTACTAAACCAAGAAAACGCTGAGCTGAAGAGAGAGATTGACAAGCTGAAAGAAGACCTTGCCGAATGTAATTCAGTGCTTTCGAGGTTTAGTCAGGTAAACTTTGAAATATTATGCGATGTGTTTTATGGAAGGGCACATTTTTATTTTGTGAGTTCTAGGCCACCAGGGCCAGTTGTTCAGCATTTGAACCTCTACTGATTTCAATTTAAAATACAGCCTGAAGTTTTATTTTCTTATTTTACCTGGCAAGATAATGCAAGGCAGACTAAGGATGTGGAAACAAATACAAGTATGGGAGATGTTGAAAACATGAGAGGAATGAAGAAAAGCGGAAAATTATTAAACGGAAGACAATGGAATAAAAAAGACACACGGCATTAGTCATTCTCAAGTACTCTCATTTTATATTTTGTGGGTAAGAGGATGGAATAAAGGGAATATGTCCATTATATGGCAAGTGTAGCATTTATTTTAGCCTATATTGAGCTTGACTTGATTACAGTCTCTTTCACGTTATTCCGAATGAGAAATAACTCAATTTGCAGCCAGATAAATATTAGTGATACTAAGTAGATTTAAACTCAGGATACAAAGTGTCTTTTGGTGAAACTGCTGTAGATTCTGAGGTGTTCAGAAATTGGAATTTCCCTTGTAGAAGTTCTGGCTTTTGAAAACCATTTTCATTCTGAATTGGAACAAACCCAAATATTTGGAGGAATTTACAGGAAAATGAAAACTGTGATCATTTTTTGTTTATACAGAGACTGAAACTCTATCCAAGTGTTACCTTGTTTAATGTTAACAATCTTACAATATTATCTTTAGCTTTCTAGATTACATTTCTGAGTTGAGGAGATGTCAGTGCAGTCTGGCCTCCTGTGCAGTCCGTGGGCAGGGCAAGGCTCCTCTCGAAGGAGGGTCAGCGTGAACAGGGGCCCGCACCCCGTGACCGAATTATCTTTCGGAAGTGTGTCTTTCCTTCCATTTTAGTAGAGGGAATGGAAAGAAAGCAGGCTCATAGATAAGATGCTAGTTTTGGAGATAGGTGGCAGGGATGCTTTAATTCCTCTGGTTATTTTATCTTGACACAAACGGTATTTCACTTCTGTGCAGGGTTTTATTTTGAAGTAGTTACGTAAAGAGGAGAAGAGAGTTATCTGAACTTCCCCCAAGTCTATCAAAGAAGCCTTCCCTAACCAACATTTTCATGAACAGTTTTAATCTATCCTAGTTATAGAATACTTGGTTATTCTTATCTATTTTACTGGGATGGCCACATACACAGCTGTTTATTAGCAGACTTTCCATTGCTGTAGAGCAGTGATGCAATTAGGCAAAAATAAATGGCAACACAAATGAGACTGATTCTTGCATTTTGCAAATTCTAGATACCAAAAGTATTCTGCTTCTACAGGTGGAAATCCCTGTGGACTTCAATTGAATTTTTACTATATAAGGTCAAGTTGAAGTTCAAAGTCGATGACCCCACACCTCATTGACAAAAATCCCAGGAATGGGCAAGTACAACTGGTCAGTTTAGTTAGAAGAGTTATCCCTGTTTTACCAGCCATGACTTCAATCTGCTTGACTGTTAAACTTTAAGAAAACAAAATATATGTAGCACTTCAAGGAAAGCATACTGTTCATTTTTATGTTCTGCCATTAAATTACAGAAATGATTTTTTTTCCTGTCTTGATTCTAAAATATTAGATTAAAAAAAAGGTAGCAGAAATGAAAGTGAAGTTCACTCACATGGAAGACATGAAGGATGATTATGCAGATATGAATACTCACTGTGTTTTTGGTGTAACTACAAAAATCCCATTCAGACTGAATCAAGACCAGGCACTGCTTACTTTTGAAGATGAAGAAGGTACGATGCATATTTTATGTCTAAAATGAATGTCTCTGATGTATTTCATTGCCAAAGGGAAAAGATTTATATAAACATTTTGGAAAAAAGAAATCAACAACAACCAAAGAAAGAATACACAGAGAACCTTTCACTATTATGATACCAGTCAGTAGAAGAAAATTCTTGCAAGCACTCTGCTGTTTTTGTTGGATTACCAGATTTCTGCTTTCAGCTAATACAAACACTGCTTTGCGTTTGAAAGTAGGAATATGTCCCTACCTCACAGAGTATTGTGAAGAAGGATTCAGAGTGTTTTGACAGCAGAATTTGATGATTTTCTTTACTCTGGGCATTACCTTGTTCTGACAGCGGTTATGTTGGTGAAGTGTACACATCAGGTGATGGGTAGATCTGAGGCGACAGAGGGGTGGTGCAGTCTGTAGCTGGCCTGCTTTCCAGGGAGATGCTTGCTGCTGGGACAGCCTGGTGCCTGCCTGCAAGGAGCCCGCAGGAGGTCTGGCTGGGCCTGCTCGGTGGGGAACTCGGTTACGCAGGTGTATTGCAGACACAACGCTAGTGTCCAATTCGTTCCTCTCAGCTAAAATCTAACAGTGCTAATAGGCATTCTCCACACCTGGTAGTGATATTTTAAATGAAATATGAGGAGTCTAGTATTAATATTTGATGCAGCGAGAGCATCTTTTGACAGCATAAAGAATCTTCTATTCTGTACTCTTCTGAAGGTAGTATACTATTTTACCTGTTGCCTGTGACCAGTGAGATCTCATGGAAACAGACATGCCTGAAGACATGGGTAGTGGGATCTGGTTGTCTAACTGTTACTAATTTCTCCTTTATTGATGCAAAAGGAGATTTTGCTTGAGAGGTTGGGGTATAGTTTTGGGTTTATAATGATTAAACAAGGCTTTTCATATCTAAAAACTTCTGATTTTCCTTAGTTGCCCAGAGACTGACAGAAATGGGGAAGCATGCTGTGAACCTGGACAATAAAATAGCAGATGTGAGAGTGAAGCCTTTTACACTTGAAATGGGAATGAAATTCGAGGTAATCAACTGAAATACGAAAGTGTAACGATACAAACTTGCAGTACTTAAAAAGGTTTAGGTTCATTTTTTTGGGTGTTTTCAGTCACAAAGTGCACAAAACCTTAATTTTTTTAGCTCCATGTCACTATTTCTGGAAAGAAGATCAACGTTTCAGAAGTACCTGAGCTGTCCCTTCCTGAAGACTGGATGAGAGACAAATTAGAGCTGAATTTCTACAAATCTGAACAGGGAGGAGGAGGAGAAGTAGAAAATGTGGATTATGACCAGCAGTCTAGAACAGCTGTTATTACATTCCTCAGACCTGGAGGTATAGTATGGAATATTTTGCTAGCTAGATGTTTGGGCCATATTGTCCATTCGGTGCTACATTCCATGCCATGTTACAGTCTGTGTTAACTTAACCACTGAATATAGCAAATTCTTCCCCCAGAGAGTTAAGCAGATCACGAAAGATGTGGGTTCACCCACACATGTGTCCATAAAGCAGTATTTCATCATATTCCTTTTTGAACAAACATGACCTGGTGTGCAGCTTGTGAGCTTTATTTCGTTCTTAACTTTGTTGAAACTCTGTTTTTTCTTTGCATTGCTAAACACTGACATTGCAAAAAGAAAATGAGGGAAGTGTGTCTGATTTTAGCTCTTGTTTCATGACAATGAGCTTAGACAGGCATTCAGATTGCCCAACTGTATGAAATTCTATGAAGATCAGTGGAGCCACAACCATTTAGAGCATCTGCTTTAGATTTATTTCAGAAGCTTTTGTGGGTATTTAATGACTTTGCTTTTTTTGGAAATGCCAAATAAACTTTTTTCAAAATGCATATGAAGAATCTACAAGTGTGCTGGCATATATTGGTTTCTAAATCCGTATAAGAAAGATTAGTCTGTTCTTCGATATGGTTATAACATACATTTTAGATTATATTACTCTGACTCCTCTTTTTCTCATTCTCCATTACAGCAACTAACGTCTTTACGAGATGTACTAAATATCCTTTCTTTGTAAATGGAAGGTGCTATAGACTTTCTGTGTCCCCGAACACCGACGTACACTTGGAAAAGTTTCAGGTAAAAGAATCTAGTCCAGGCTAGCCCCTAAATAGAACAGATATGTGGGAAATATGAGATATGGGCAGAACCTTCAGTTCCGAGGACTGCAGATTTGTGTCATGTGCTTGGTGAAACTTAATAGCAAGTGTAAGTCTGCAATATGCTGCTCTGCTGATAATCTTACGTTTTGCAGTGGGAAAGCCATCATTTGTTTTCAAAGGGTGTGCATGTCTTTCCTGGATCAAATGATCTCATTACTTACCGTAACGTCTGTGCTAGACAGGAGGCAGATACTGAATTGTTTGTGGAGCAGGTTTGGAACTCCTGCTGTTTTCAGTGACAAATATACGACATCATTATCCAAAGTCTTAAAATGTAATCAAAGATCCTAGCCATACCTGATCAAGGATACGTTTATTTCCAGTATCTGTCAGTTCCTGGAGGTGTACATGCAACAGCTGATGTGTAATACAAGTTTGGTTTTCTTTCTTTAACAGATTTTCTGTGCGATTTCTAAGAAGACCATTCTGTTGCAAGGAATTCAGGAGACGGAAGATGATGAGGAAAGTGTACAGGACATGATTGAAATTCATTTTCAAAAGCCTAGTAATAGTGGTGGGGAAATAGAGAAAATCAAATATGTATCAAAAGGAGCAACATGGGTTTCTTTTGAGGAGGATACTTAGAGTGCCATGTAGAGAATTGTAGGTGGAACTCATGAAGTTCTGAGGTTTTGCTTCATCAGAGGTGTAGGAAGTTACGCAGACATCAACATTGTGAAATGTATACTTGAAGAAGAGGAACTGCCTGTCTTTCTGATTCGTGCAATGGCACAGACTTTGCATAGCAATTCAGTAAAGCTCAGTGCTTGGTGTTCCAGAGATTCCCGATGGAGGTCACGGAAAAACCCTCTACCAGCACTTGAAACTCAGTCTAAGATTGCTTTCTGCGAATTTGCAGATTTTGTATCTGGCAAATTTTAGATAGGTCGCATACTCCAAAGTGGGATAAATGTATTCTCCAAAGTGGGATAAATCTCTGCCTGCTTACATTTTGGTTACCAGAGCTGTGTGTAATCCCAATCAAAGGTGTCTTCGCAGATGTGCTCTTCTGAAGTGCCGTAGCTTCAGAAGGGGTCTCTGACAGAGCTCCAGTCCTGCGGAGGTTGCTGCGGGCCACTGTAACGCAAGTACCTGAAAGCAATGATCTTGTAATTTCATCAAATCTGCATTATCGAATCAGGGATAAAATAGAAAAAGGGAGAGTGAAAAACCACCACAGATTTACTCAAGAAATTGCACCTTACGAGAAGTGCCATAGCTGTAATACTGCTTTTCGCTGTCGAAACGCTGTTACTTCGCCTAGGATCTGATGCAAATTCCTCCGAGCTTCTGATAAGTGAACAGCCTGGTTTATTGTTTGGGTTTAATATTTGTTTCTACAATTACATTTTTCCTTATTTCTGTTCATGACTTTCCTTACTTTAAAATATTACAGTTAAGGATTGAGATTATTTCTTATCTAAACCAGATTGCTTTGTAACAGTGCTGGGGACACGGTCTGACGGTGAACGCTGTGTCTGCGGTATCGGTTTTGCCGTGTGCCTGGCCAGGCTGCTGGCTCTGGGAGGCTGCGTAGAGAGGGATCAGCTGGAAAAAGGCGTATCGAGATTAGGGCAAATCCCATTTTTCAGCGTGTAAAGTCCCGCTTTTGCTTCCAGTTCATCCTTCCAGTTCCCATTCTGAAAGATCGTTGAAATAAAATGGAAGTGCAAAGTCAGAGAAGGATTTCTTTTCCGCAGGAGATTTTTTTTCCTTTTCTGCTGTCATCCTTTTTTGTTTGCTGCCCTTGGGAGCTGAAATGGTTTGGCAACAATAATCCGAACTTCAAAGTAGCTTGGGTCTAACGTTGAAAATCACTTACCTCCCTAGTATTTGACATTTTATAGAGAAGGACAACGCACCAAACTAGTGCAAGAAGAGCACTACAGATATACCCCAGGTAGTATTCCTCTAGAAGAACTGCTAGTAGGCAACAGATAGGGTTGAACATGGGAAGCCAAGAGGCTGGTAGCACCCCAGCTGATTTGGGATTCACTGTTGGGTGAGATACATGTGGCTGTAGCACCTCTTACTGTTTAGTGCATGCAACGGACTGATTACCTGACAATTATGAAGCAGTAAAAAAATAAATAGTAGTAGTACCGGAGTGTTTATGGGCATTGCATACTTTTGCATGTAGCAGTCTTAAAATGTTGGTAAGATCGGATTCCTTAAAAAGAAAGGGGGGGGGGGAACCCGATGAAGGTAAAAAATGTCATGAATTTTAAGCGTACCTCACTGATAAATGTTGAGAAGTAAACCCTTAAAAAAGGCAAAAGTTTAAAATTCTCAGCAAGTATCACAGTGTGCGGGAGTAGTGAGAAGCTGCAGGTTTTAAGTGCATGAGATCGAGATTTTCAGTAACATTTGAAGACAATCGGTGTTTGTAAATGTCTCCGTTTTCTCTCTGGTGAATTGATTCTACTGTTTAAGTTTTAAAGCAACGGTGCTGCCACGTAAAGGCTGGAAAACAGTTTTAAGGATGAAAAACAATGCCGTGCCCGCGTGTGTCTGCGTGTGCCATTCCACATGGGAGCTCGAGGTCGCCGTGTCCGTGTGTCTGCGTGTTTCTGTGTGTGCCTTCACACACGGGAGCTCGGAGGTCACTGTGTCCATGTGTCTCTGTGTGTCTCTGTGTGCCTTTCCACATGGTAACTCAGGGTTGCTGTGTCCGTGTGTCTGCATGTGACTCTGTGTGTCTTCATGTGCTTTTCCAGGCGGGGAATGTGGGGTTGCCATGTCTGTGTGTCTGCGTGTGCCTTTCCACGGGGGAAGCCCGGGATCGCCGTGTCCGTGTGTCCATGTGTGCCTTTCCACATGGGAACTCGGTGTTGCCATGTCCGTGTGTCTGCGTGTGCCTGTCCACGGGGGGAACTTGGGGTCACCATGTCCATATGTCCATGTGTGCCTTTCCACACAGTAACTCGGGGTTGCCATGTCCGTGTGTCTGCATGTGTCTGCATGTGCCTTTCCACATGGGAGCTCAAGATTGCCATGTCTGTGTGTCTGTGTGTGCGTTTCCACGGGTGGAGCTCGGGGTCACCGTGTCCATGTGTCTGCGTGTGACTCTGTGAGTCTGTGTGTGCCTTCACACATGGGAGCTCAGGGTTGCCATGTCCGTGTGTCTGCGTGTGTCTGTGTGTGCCTTCACACACGGGAGCTCGGAGGTCACTGTGTCCATGTGTCTGTGTGTGTCTCTGTGTGCCTTTCCACATGGGAACTCAGGGTCGCCGTGTCCATGTGTCTGCCTGTGCCTTTCCACACAGGAACTTTGGGTTGCCATGTCTGTGTGTCTGCATGTGCCTTTCCACATGGGAACTCAGGGTTGCTGTGTCCGTGTGTCTGCATGTGACTCTGTGTGTCTTCATGTGCTTTTCCAGGCGGGGAATGTGGGGTTGCCATGTCTGTGTGTCTGCGTGTGCCTTTCCACGGGGGAAGCCCGGGATCGCCGTGTCCGTGTGTCCATGTGTGCCTTTCCACATGGGAACTCGGTGTTGCCATGTCCGTGTGTCTGCGTGTGCCTGTCCACGGGGGGAACTTGGGGTCACCATGTCCATATGTCCATGTGTGCCTTTCCACACAGTAACTCGGGGTTGCCATGTCCGTGTGTCTGCATGTGTCTGCATGTGCCTTTCCACATGGGAGCTCAAGATTGCCATGTCTGTGTGTCTGTGTGTGCGTTTCCACGGGTGGAGCTCGGGGTCACCGTGTCCATGTGTCTGCGTGTGACTCTGTGTGTCTGTGTGTGCCTTCACACGCGGGAGCTTGGAGGTCACCGTGTCCGTGTGTCTCTGTGTGTCTCTGTGTGCCTTTCCACATGGGAACTCAGGGTTGCTGTGTCCGTGTGTCTGCGTGTGACTCTGTGCGTCTCCATGTGCCTTTCCAGGCGGGGAACGTGGGGTTGCCATGTCCGTGTGTCTGCGTGTGCCTTTCCACGGGGGGAGCTCAAGGTTGCCGTGTCCGTGTGAAGTGTGTGCCTTTCCACATGGGAACTCGGGGTCGCCATGTCCGTGTGACTCCGTGTGTCTCCGTGTTCCCTTCCACGCAGGAGCTCGGGGCCGCCGCGCCCGCGCGTCCCCGCGTCCCCTTCCCCG